TTTTGCTGAAACGTTTCACCTTCCATCCGGAGGGCTTCATCAGTCAATGAAACACACAAAACTGATTTTTTTTCCCCCAAACAGCTTACTCCAAAGTGGTACTGCTTTGTTTCACTTTGGAGTAAGCTGTTTGGGGGAGGAATCAGTTTTGTTGTGCGTTTCCTTGACTGATGAAGCCCTCCGGATGGAAGGTGAAACGTTTCAGCAAAAAAAGAAACTGTCCAGATGACCTGACTGAAAAATGTTGGATTAAATACCACAAATTTGACATTTTTATACAACTTATTGCCCTTTTAAATGCTTGTAAGCAGTAAAACAAGTCTCAGTACCACTTGTTACCTGAGAAGTCAGCCACCCCTCAGTGTTGGAGGCTTTCGTGCCCGTCAGTCTGCAGTCATTCTTTCCAAGCTGTGCCAATATTTTTACCACTGTTTATATGCTGAGGACCGGCTGACACGGACAGTAAACAGTTCCTTTTATTCCTGCTGAGGTTTGACTGCAAGACTGACGCAGTGTACATTTTCACGTTGTCTCAACTTTGTGTCTCTGCACTTCATGTGTTTGCTTTTTGTAGCAACAAACCTACATTAACATGGTTCCCTTTTTAAAGCGTGTGTGATAATCCATCACAGTAGATGAGCACTGCCAGACTCGAGTGTTCGTGTATATTATAGATATTAGAGGCTGTAGTGTTAAGCCTGTAATGTTGGTTTTTGTGTCTTTAATAACGGAGTGGGGCAGGGGTTTGTGTGGCTCTTAACAGTTTATTTAGCACAGCTCTGCCATGCTGCAGTAGAGACAGTGTTGCAGTGTTCTCAAAGTAGGCTCCAGGACGTCAGCTGACTGCTTGCTACAGTGGGTCACGTTAGCTATAATCAGCTGAGGAATGTCTTCTCCTTTTTCTCTCTTCCCCTCTGAATTTATCCCTCACCCACAAGCCTGTACTCGTGTCATTTTGTGTTCTGTTTTTCTCATTTTTCTCTCCTTGATCAGTCATGAGACCACAGTGATGAGTCCTTTCTATAATCGCCTCAGCTTTGACTTGTTTAAATGTAGTTTTAAGAGAACCACTACTTGGTGAGGTTTGTGCTCATGTTGAGCATGCCTGTTTATACAGAGCTGTGTGTTTGCTTATACAGCAGCATGTAGGGGAAATGAGAAAAGGATGAAAGTTCATCCATTTTTTATTTATTTATTTTTTGACAAGCTTTACTTTTCTGAGTCACATCACAGGATGAAAGACAAATGTTAATTTACTTATTGCACGATGAGTAAAAAGTTTTGAGACTGATAACAGAATGCTAGTCTGTGAATTGAGATAAATTATTCATCTTTTTTATTCTTTCCGTCAATCAGCTTTTATTAATTGACTAATGGTCTTATTGGAGGCTTGCCAACGTTTTGTTGAACAGGCAGAATGTATTTGCTCATGTCTGATACCCTGTACTATAAATATAGTCTTGCTGATAAAAGCACAAGATTTTCAATCCGTTTATCTTAATTTTCTGTGTTCTCTCTTCTAGATACGGCATCCGTCCAGAGAGTGTGATTGTGTACGGTCAGAGCATTGGCACAGTGCCCTCTGTGGACCTAGCTTCTCGCTACGAGAGTGCCGCAGTCATCCTCCACTCCCCGCTCACCTCCGGCATGAGAGTGGCTTTCCCTGACACAAAGAAGACCTACTGCTTTGATGCCTTTCCAAAGTGAGTGGACTGAGCAGATGACATGTGAAAACGGGGCTAAGTCAGAGTCAGAGATTCTTTATTGTCATTCGCACCTCATGTGGTACATGTGGTGGAGCGAAATTATGTACACAGGGTCCCAGTTACATCCAACAATAAAATGTAAAAGAAAAACAGTAATAACATCTAAGATATGAACTAAGAAAAACATAAACTAAATATACACCAAGCACTCATAACATAAAAACATTATTATTAACATAAATGTATGTTATCCACATGAAGGTATGCCTGTTTAGGCTGAAAACAGATGATCTACGTCTAAACATGCAGCAAACTGCATCAGGGGAAAAGACACAGCACACGTTTGACAGGAAACTCTTTCCTTTACTGATAAGATTTTCAATAGCATCACCTGCTGGTCAATTAGTGATATAGCTCTGCTTTAGTTTTCTTTCTCATTGCTGCAGCAGTTGCATCAAAGTCTTAATTTTTATCTACGTATGAACTCGTATTAATATATTTTTCCCTCTTTTTAAAAAAAACAACAACCTCAAAGCATTGACAAGATTTCCAAGGTAACGTCACCGATCCTCGTGATCCACGGTACGGAGGACGAGGTCATCGACTTCTCGCACGGCCTGGCTCTATACGAACGCTGTCAGCGCCCCGTGGAGCCACTCTGGGTGGAGGGGGCCGGGCACAACGATGTGGAGCTCTACGGACAATACCTGGAGAGGCTCAAACAGTTTGTTGCACACGAGCTGGCCAACTTGTAGAGGTGCTCAAAGAAAAAGAAAAGCTGTGGAATGATTAAAGGAGAAATGGCGTCTGTTTGCATAAAACTAATTTTGTGGTGACTGACTCATAATCAAGGTCCTCTTCTCCAACGGCCTCCAGTTGTCCAAGGACCAATCATCTTCTCCACACCTGCAGACCTTGAAGTTGCCATTTATTTTATTTTTGCTTGAGGTTTTTTTATATCATCTTCAACCTTACCTCTTGTATGACTGAGGAAGTTGAGATGTTCACTCACAACATAAGATGTGTTCATGCAATAAGAACAATGTAATGAACACGCGTCGTACTTTTTCTTTCTGCCTTTTGAGAAGGACGTGGTCCACAGTTCTTAATGTAGACCACCACTCTTGGAAAATGGCCTTTTCACAAACTACTTGCTCTAAACCCACTGGACTCTGCAGGACTCTTGAGTTCCTCACAATATTTAATTGTCTTTGCTTTATATTTTTATATCCTACATAATGTTTGCACACATCATTTGTCACCCAAGAGCTTATCAAGACGAACTGAAATATATAAAGTTGTGCCAGTTTTGCCAAACGTTAAATACATTGCAGAGACTTGTGCAAATAAAGACATGTGCTACTACTTAACACCTACAAACATTATGAGATTTGTTAGTTTTGTTAGGTCTGCATCTCTTTAGTTTTTAAATGATGCTGTTTGACGTCAGCCTTTATAGAAAAGATGCTCAGTGAACAGCTGACTAGATGTCAGGATTGTTTCCACCTCTGTCACCTAAACTGTTGTAACTTAGTCTGATGTGATGTATCGTTGCTTTAAACCAGTTGTCACACTGCTGTTGATGAACACGAGATTTAGAGAAGATGTTGGGCATCTTTTGTGGGAGAAAAAGAAGCCTGGACCTTTATGGAGTAATTCACCTGGATGTAGTGGCTCCTCTGAAGCCCAGTTCTGACTGTAATGTTTGTTCGTTTGGGTCTTAATACATCGAGTGAAATAATGTGTAGTGATTCTGACAGATCTCCCTAACTGGATCAGATCTGGACATTTGTACCTTTATATGATATGATAAAACTACTGTAAGCGCTGCTGCCAGTAATCTGATTACAACTTAAACCACTAATGCCAACCAGGAGGAGCTGGAAATGTTACGGTCACTGTTGGTGTTGAATCATTTTTCAGTTTAGGGAGTTGGAAATATTAAAACATGGTATTTTTCTATATTTTTTTGCCGCCAGCAGGTCAGAACTAAACACTGAATTGGTTTTTGACTTGTTCCGGACAATTAGCTTTGTTTAGGTGGCTAGCTCAGCATTAAAGGCCTCCATCAGGCAGTTTATTTACTTTGTCTTAATTTTATTTTTTTTCCTGCATGATGTTTCCAAATCCACTGTTGCATGATTTGCTCTTTAATGCTGAGAGAGGCTAATGAAGCACTAGCTACTCTACATACCATGATCAGTGGTTATCCTTTGGTTTTGGCCTGTTGCAATGTAATTTATTTATTTTATTTTTCTGTATCAAACTTAAGCCTGCATCCACAAAATAACACCAACATGCCAACTGGTGCTACTGTGAACCTTCAGGTTTGACGACTCTCCTGTTGAGAGGCAGAAACAGCTTTTAGATTTTTTACACAGACCGAGATCAGGATCAGTTTTTGTCATCTTACTCTAATTACATTCTTATTTTACTTATAACTAGTACATTTTAATTTCCACTGTAACATGCTTAGCAAATTGTTTTTGTAATTTTTTTTCCCCCACAAGCATCTACCAGCTGGATGTTTGATTTCTTCTAAAACTCCATGAGGTTGTCGTTCAGATAGCCTTTTGTACCGAACACTCTTGACTGGTATAATCTGCTTACATTTGTATAGCATCTTTCAATACAAACTGTATTAATGACAATATAGTAATTTTACCATGGATATGGAAAATAAAACCTGTATTTGAGAAAATTTTTAAGTTGTGACAGAAATTATTATTTTTTGTAAAGATGGTTTAAAAATATTTTCTGATCTGTGTTTATTACAAAAAGCTTTGAATGATCTGGATTAGTTCTTTGGAGTACTTTGGTGTTCTCAGGACAAATTGACAAAATAATACATCGACTGAGACATCACAGAATGGAAAGTGAGGTCAAAGGGCAGTTCATCAGATAAACTAAAATTTAGTGTAGTACTAGTATCTGAGTGATCACCCAATTTATACTAAACAGGTTTTGTAAATGAGTCCTTGTGGCTCAATGAGGCTAACCTGTTTAAATAAATGTTGAATGAATTAGTAACAGACAATATCTTTAAAATATTTGCCAATTTGCAGCAACGCTGTTAGCTAAGTATCCTGTGTTCCATTAGTCAACTTTTTAACAAGTTTCAGGAAATAATCACTGGACGTACATCTACAAATGCTAGCCACAATGGTCAGCTGACCTTATAATTAGACCTTATTGCCACATGTGCTCAAATTTGGTGTGATTGTAGCTGTCGTTCACATCCGAGTTCTACTGAATGTGAGGTAGTTGTCTAAAGCTTTACCTTTTGGAGTCAACCCTGAAGCACAAATATCTATAATTCAGCTAATTTCAAAGCTACTTAGCCAAAGTTTGGCACTCGTACTTTGAGTGCAACACATTGCGTGACGTCTCTTTTTGAAACTAATAAAGAAATGTGAAGTTTAAACTATTACAGTCACAAGGATAGTGATGAACCATTTCCTTTTTAAACCAGCAGGCAGCAGTGTGGTTCAGACACCCCCTCAACATGAAACCCTCCTGTTCACTCCATGAAAACCAACATCTATAAAACTTGGGATAAATGCTTTGAGTTGGAAGCAGAATTAAATCGACTGCATAAGATAACATGAGTAGTAGGTGTTGCACAAATATGGCTCTGAACTCTCGGCTACAGTAATTATTTAGTTTCTATGTTAATTGTATTGATTTTATTGGGTAATTGCATTTATGAACTCCAGTCTGAGCTGCAAATCACCAGTTTACAGTGGGTGATATTTTGGTGGAACGTTGCCATTTATTCCTGACAGGTTTAGCTCCTTCCTTTATTAATTACATTTCTTCATCTGATTAAACTCACAAGCTGATTTAAAAACAGCCACACTTGTGATTGTTTCTATGGGGACTTGAAGATGGCTAAAACAGGGGTAGGCGTACGGAAATTTTCCAGGTCGTCCAGCGAACAACCTTGTGACAGAGTCTGGTTGTCCTCCAAATTTTTGGGTTGTCTGCAATCTACAACAAAGAAGGCAAAACATCTCAAGAAAAATGAAATTTAATAGGTATTAGTTTACTATATACAAATGTTCTCAGTCAGCCTTCTTGAGGCCTGCTTGGAATTTCCAAGCGAGTGTCGAATTCTTTCAGGAGCTGCTCGAGCAGAACTTCCTCGTCCTACTCATCCTCTTCCTCCTCAGACTTTGCAAGAGAGACAATTGCAGTGTATTTTAGGCAGAGATTAAAGCAGAAAATAAAACACACAGACAGAATTTTTTTCTACATTTAGAGGTTAACCAAGCACTTATTGACATTCTGGAGGAAGAGAGGGGTTTTAACAACTATTCTGTAGTTTTATTTTGTTTTTCAATGGAGGGGTTGTCGGATGCAGTATATATATATATATATATATATATATATATATACAGCACAGAAAGTCCTTTGCAGAATATAAATTAACATAAAATATTTTATTTTTAATTTGCCAGACTGACAAGATTAATTATTATTTCATTCAAAGAGATTATATTTACAGGATTTCAGCTGCTCATTTACAGTTTTTCTCAATTGTTTACACAAAACTGGTACTTGAGACACAATGACCACATGTAAATTATGCACAACCCCCTGAACATATTCTGCTAAAGCACAATTCCTGCTTTACACTCAAACTGAAGTTCTAAAACACACTTTAAAAAAAAAAAAAACGCTACACACAATTGTCTACATTTGGCACAAATTTCCTGAAGAAAATCTCTTGTTTTCACAAGGAACACACTGTTAATCAAATTTCTAAAGTTAATTGCACTACTATGCACACCAACTCATCACATGGGCAAACACCCATCACACACTTTTACAATTAGCAATCAGAGCTTTAGCATGAAAGGGCAACAGGTGAGCTCTTCTGTTTTGGAGCAATGGATGCAACAAAACAGAGGCAGAGCCAGAGGAGTGAGAGTAAGAGGAGGAGGATGAAGACGAGGATAAGGAAGGCCAAGGACCATAATCTCTGATGAGATTAAATTCAAGTTCAAGTAGGTTTATTGTCATTTCACCACATGGTACATGAGGTGGAACGAAATTATGTACACAGGGTCCCATTTAAATCGAACAATAGCAAAAATATAAAGTGGAAAAAGAAACTGAAAGTAAGGATCTATGATACAAACTAATATATATGTTAAACGAACGCCAAACAGTATACTCTAACGTTATCTCCCAGTTGTTCAACCTGTGCTGTACCTCTGATGATCTCATTCCTAATCTTATCACTCCTAAGGAGAACCTCAACATCTTCATTTCCTCCACTTCCAGTTCTTTCTCCTGTCTTTTTGTCAATGACACTGTCTCCAGACCAGACAACATAACTGGTCTCACCACTTTTTACTGTCTTGTAAACTTTTCCTTTGACCTTTACTGACACCCTTTTGTTGCAAATCACTTCTAAAACTTTTCTCCATCCACTCCATCCTGCCTGGACGCTCTTTGTTACCTCTTTACTACAGTCCCCATTTTTCTGGACAGTGGACCTCAAGTGCTTGGAGTCCTGCACCTTTGTGACCTCTGCTCCTTGTAGCCTCACTGTTCCACTGGCCTCCCTCTCATTCACACACTCTGTCTTACCACGGCTGACTTTCATTCCCTTTCTTTCAAGTGCATACCTTCACCTCTCCAAGTTCTCTTCCACCTGTTCCTTGTTCTCACCACATATCACAATATCATCTGCAAACATCATAGTCCATGGGGATTCCTGCATGACCTCATCTGTCGGTCCATCACCAGAGCAAACAAGAAGGGGCTCAGAGCCGATCCTTGATGCACTCCCACC